GGTCACCTCCTAATAAATATCATTACAGAAAATCGAACTTAAATCAGTACTTTTACTTTTAATACTTAAGTACAAAAAATATCAAATACTTTAAGACTTTTAAGTAATATACCTAAAGGAGACTTTAACTTTTACCAAAGTAATTTTTTGGTAAGATACTTGTATTTTTACCCAAGTATCACTCTGTGCTACTTTGTACAACACTGCTAATTTCAAACGCCTTTTTATACGAACCGTCGTGCTGCTTTTACAGCTCGAGTGCACCTGTTTCCCCCTCCTCCTCGCTCTGCCCGTTCTTCCTTCCCGTCTCCCTCTGTTGGCCTCTCTTCAGCCGTCCCCGTGTTCCCATCTCCTCTGCCCTTGTGCGGCGTGTTTGTTCGGCTCAGTTCTCATGTCAGGCATCACTCTGAGTGCTTTGGACCTAAGCCCAAAGTTATCTCCCTAATACAGCACCTTGCTGCGGTGAAATCCCACTCTGGCCGCTCTAACTCGAACCGGCTTCAAGATCACAGCAGAGGACGTGGGGGACCCCCGCGGTCTTGAATGAGCAACAGTTTTTAAGGGGAGCTCAGAGAATCCTTTTCAGGTTTAGTAATAATGCTTCTTTGGTCTTACAGCTAATTCGGGCGGCTCTCTCCAAGGTCCACAGACGCCCCAGTCTTCTGGCAGCAGCTCGACAGCAGAGGTAGTAGGTGACCTGAAACCGCCGACACCTGCCACCACCCCGCTGGGACAAGTCACTCCACTGCCCCCCAACAGGTACCTCTACTGAATCAGCTGCTCTCAGTGATGCTGCTGCTGCTTACTCCTCCACCGCATACATACTGACTCTAACAACAGTTTAATGAGGACCAGTTCAACAATTACAAAAAACAACAACTTTGATTTGAGATGTTTGATTTTGTGTAAGATTCAGACGTGTAGTTTTTTTTTTTTTTTCCTTTTTTGTTCTTCTCTGTTGATTTTAATTACAGCCCATGACAGCTGTATGCAACGCCTGGCAGGAGAGTCAAAGGCTTTTGTTTGCTTTCTTTGTGATATATTGTGAAAGGGAATATTCATATCTAACAGGTGTTGTCTAACCACAACAATGCCAGCAATTTAGTCTGTGAAATCAGTTTTAGACACAAGATAAACAGTTTAAAGGGAGGAGGGGGAAAAAAGCAGCAATCTTGAGTAAAATGTTGGGCCGAGACGTTTGTGTTCGATGATTTTAAATAATACTTTGYAACTTTTTTTTTACATATTTCAAGATGATTTAAAGTCATGGTGAACAGTTTATACAAAGAAATGATTTTGCAACTTTTATCAATATAAAATAAAATAAAAAGCTTATAGTGAGATATAATTGTTGGTTATTCTTTTGATTGTTAGGACTCTGTCACACTAAGATTAGACAACTTTTTCCAACTTGTGTAAAATTGAATAAATTACTCTTATATGATATATACAGCRGGTAAAATAAGTATTGAACACGTCACCATTTTTCTCAGTAAATATATTACTAGAGGTGCTAATGACATGAAATTTTCACCAGATGTTGGTAACAACCCAAGTGATCCATACATACAAAGAAATCAAACCATAAATGTCCAGAAATGAAGTTATTTGTAATAATGTGGAATGGCACAGGGAAAAAGTATTGAACACACTTACTGAAATTTATCTAATACTTTGTACAAAAGCCTTTGTTGTCAATGACAGCTTCAAGACGCCTCCTGTATGGAGAAACTAGTGGCATGCATTGCTCAGGTGTGATTTTGGCCCATTCTTCCACAAACAGTCTTCAAATCTTGAAGGTTTCGTGGACCTCTTCTATGAACTCTGATCTTTAGTTCTTTCCATAGATTTTCTGTTGGATTCAGGTCAGGTGATTGGCTGGGCCATTCCAGCAGCTTTAGTTTCTTTCTCTGAAACCAACTGAGAGTTTCCTTGGCTTTGTGTTTGGGCTCATTGTCTTGCTGAAATGTCCAGCCAGGTTTCATCTTCATCATCCTGGTAGATGGAAGCAGATTTTTATCAAGAAAGTCTCTGTACATTTTTCCACTCATCCTTCCTTCAATTATTTGAAGTTTGCCAGTACCATATGCTGAAAAACAGCCCCACACCATGATGTTCCCACCTCCAAACTTCACTGTTGGTATGGTGTTTTTGGGCTGATGTGCAGTGCCATTTGACCTCCAAACATGATGTGTATTCTGGCATCCAAACAGTTCAATGTTGGTCTCATCTGACCAGACTATATTCTCCCAGTATTACACAGGCTTGTTTAAATGTTATGCAGCAAACTTTAAAGGAGCTTCAACATGCTGTTTCTTCAGCAGTGGAGTCTTGCGTGGTGAGCGTGCATACAGGCCATGGTGGTTCAGTGCATTACTTATTGTTTTCTTTGAAACAATCGTACCTGCTAATTCCAGGTCTTTCTGAAGCTCTCCACTAGTGGTCCTTGGCTCTTGGACAACTCTTCWGATAATTCTTTTCACTCCTCTGTCAGAAATCTTGTGAGGAGCACCTGGTCGTGGTCGGTTTATGGTGAAATAATGTTCTTTCCACTTCTGAATTATGGYCCCAACAGTGCTCACTGGAACCTTCAGAAGTTTAGACATTCTTCTGTAACCGATGCCATCATTATGCTTTGCAACAATAAGGTTGTGAAGGTCTTCAGAGAGCTCTTTACTTTTACCCATCATCAGATGGTTCTTGTGTGATACCTGGCCATCATTTGGGACTGAACCAGCTGATATTAACTTGCACTGACAAGGGGCAGGCTTGCTTTCTAATTACTGAGAGAGTTCAGCTGGTGTCTTCTCTTTCCATGCCTTTTTACACCTCCCTTTCTTCATGTGTTCAATACTTTTTCCCTGTGCCATTCCACATTATTACAAATAACTTCATTTCTGGACATTTATGGTTTGATCTCTTTGTATGTATGGATCACTTGGGTTGTTACCGACATCTGGTGAAAATTTCATGTCATTAGCACCTCTRGTAATATATTTACTGAGAAAAATGGTGACGTGTTCAATACTTATTTTACCCGCTGTATTTGATCTAATCATGAGCATTACAGTACTTTTTTACAATCAAACTTCAGCACAGACATCTTTACTGCTGGATAAAATTTTTATAAATTTTCTAAAATGTCATAATGTGACAGGGCTTTTAAAGTAAATAATTTGTTTGCACTTAAATCTTCAGCTTATAGATTCTAGTTAATTGTTGAACCACTAAGAAGGATAAGGAGTAATTAATTTTTACATTTAAGTTAGTATTTGTGGCAATTTATATAAAATATTATTAAATGTAAAGAAATAGTTCTTTTGCTCTAAAACACGTAGCTGTATGTGAAAGTTTGAAGCCCTCAGAGCTCATCAAACTCATTTTCTGCTCGTTCTGTCTGTATGACGTGCACTCTTYCCCTGGTTTACCGTTTTCCTCATTTGTCCAGGAGCAGTGTGAGCGTGCAGGACCCCTTCTCGGAGGTGAGTGACCCGGCCTTTCAGAAGCGGGCTGCCAGCCTGCCCCCCTCAGCTCCCTACCAGCAGGGCCTCAGCATGCCTGACATGATGATGAGGATGCAGTACGACGCCAAGGACCCCTTCGCAGGGATGAGGAAGAGTGAGTGAGGCACACGCTGTGGAACCCACCTCTTTGTGCTTTATGTGAAACACTCTTTTGTTTCTGCTGATGTGTCTGCGAGCAAAACTAGACAAATCTTTTGAACGTATTAAATTATTTTCACCAAACTTAGATGAAACAAGATTTAAATTTGAAACATCACCCTTAAACTTGATATAAACTCACACGGTTCTTTCTTTAAATGACACRCGTGTCCCGGAGCCATTCGTCTTTCTTGTTGGTCTAATTTCTCGTCAAWTCACCATGTCGACTCCGATCAGGACAGATGTTTGTGTCTTTTTAATTACTCAAAGTCCAAAAGGAGATAAGAACAGTTTGTTACGCCACACATACGTTTATCAGAAACACACCATCTCGTCTGATCTTCTGGTAGCCTAGCCTCCGTCTCATCCTTATTCTGCTCATCCTTTTCATCCGTTTTTGTTTTTTGTTTTGTTTTTTTTTCGTATTTCTCACCCTGCTGGGATGCACCTGTTTTGACCAAGTCGGGTGGTTTAGTTTCCAGAACAAACAGTAGTTTCAGAAATAACGGCGGCTCCTCTCAAGGCTGAAGAGAATGGAGTCTGAATGAATAATATGGTGGATGGTAGCTGCATAACATTTAGCCTCAAAAGTATAGATGGAGAATATTCATAGAGGTATGCTGCCACCTGCTGGTAAAGATAGTTTAATGCATTCATATGTAAACTGTTTCTTTTTAGTTACATAAAATTATTGAACATAGTTGTATTTCTTTGCTTTTTTACTTGTGCAGTGGCAGGAGCTGATCCTTACATACCGAGCCAGATGCCCAGCGGTGGGATGCCAGATATGTATGGTCGGCCACCGTCAGGCCTCAGCATGAGTCAAAGATCCCAGTATCCATACGGGTCAGGCTATGACAGAAGGTACGCACACAAAGATCACGGTGATGAACATTTTGGTAGTGGTGGTTTATTTAAATAAAATAAGAGCGGTGTTTAAGACTTTTCTGTTTTATCTTTAGACCCGATCATATGATGGGGATGGAAGGGACCATGGGCCCCCCAGGAAGTCAGAATAACATGGGACACTCCAACAGTGAAGGCAGCATGTACTCTCCCAGCAGATACCCGTCACAGCAGAGGTCAGTCTGCTCATATTTAGCAGCTTGTATTTGCATACAAGTCTGACACATTACTGAAGGATTTTTCTGCTTTGCCTCCTTGCTTTGCAGACATGACGGTTACGGCCAGCAGTATTCCAGCATGCCATACGGGATGCATCCATCTGGGATGTATCCACAGCAACAGGTAGGGAACAACAGCAGTATTGTTAATTTGTTATATTAAATGAGTACAGGACATAACATTCTAGCTAAATGTAAGGATTTTTAACAAGTAATCTTGTACATTAGATTAAATATTACAAATGAATATCAATAATCTGCATAATTTATCATCTTTTTTTCTGTTCTTGCTTCTTGTTGCCACTTCTGTTATGATAAATGACACAGATCAAAAATCAGTGTTGTATAAAGAATCTCATAGTGATAGTTGAGTGAAGATACAAGTATCTACCAACAAATTACTTTGGTAAATGATTAAAGTCTCATTTTTTAAGAATATTACTTGACTAAAAGGCTGACATTTCCTGTACTTAAGTATTAAAAGTAAAAGTATTTAGTAAAAGTGAGCTGTTAGAACTTCCAAAATAACATTTATTGGGAGGTGATCTTCCCAAAAACAGATTTCTAAAGGCCAAAATGATTATAACATTGTATTTAAATGTTAATGTTGATCGATTTAGGATRTGCTAGGCTAACTGTTTTGGCTGCATATATGGTATATCTCTGCCACGGTCATCTTCACACCAAGCTACATGTCGGATGTGATTTGAGTCGTGTACAAGGATGATGGATCGTAAAAACCAATAATGTGTTGGGATGGATCATCCAGCCAAAATTAAATTCACTCTGTCTGGGAGGCACCATATAGTTGGATAGTTTGTTGTTTTTGTTTTTTTTTTTTAACAAACTGGAATGAAAACTAGCCTAAATGAAATAGGAATAACGACTTTCTAATTTTTACGTTTTTTAAAAATGGAAGGAGTTGAAAGTACAGATAATTATAAAAGTAAAAAACTGTTGGCTAAAAAATAATTACTCAAGTAAAKATAACCAATATTTCTACAAAGTGTTTTTACTTTKTTACTTTATAATTCTGATCAAAATACATCTATATATWGATATGAGTTTATCACAAGTTAATTAAAGTGAATGAATTTATGMTTCTATATTTTCTTCTGCAAATTTAGGTAACTTATGTCCACAAAATAAATTGGGGTAAATGTGCCTAGTATTATCGAAGGGTGATGTATATAAAAATATTACTACTTTAAACCCACGTAATAATAGTATTTTATTGAAATTATGAGAATTCACATCCTAAAGAGTCGCTTTGAYCAAACAAGTGGTTACTAAGGCACACATGTCAACCCCTTCAGATGTTTAATGAGCCTCAGAAATCCGTAATTTTCACATGCGGGGGGGTGCATGCAGACCGTCAGCTGTGGAGGGGAGGGGGTGGAGTGCAGGCGGACTGTCGGCTGCAGCAAAWTCAGAAGGAAATGAGGACAGAAGAACTTATTTCTAGCAGCAGAGTGGGTTGGAAACAAATATTTGATGTTATTCATTGTTTATTTAACATCCTACAGGCTCTGACATGTTAAATAAATTTGAAACTGAGTTTTTGGATGAATCCGTAAAACATGAAAAAAATCCCTGAGATTGCTCTATTTGTCCGTATACTTGCAAAATGACGGAAAATCCGTGTAAATTGCGAACAATCCGTACAACTTGACACGTATGCTAAGAACATCTTTGCTCCATCAGGGCTACAAACGGCAAATGGATGGACTGTACGGCCCGCCACCCAAGAGGCACGAGAGTGACATGTACACCATGCAGTACACCAACCAGCAGCCAGACATGTACAATCACTACGGTGGTGGGTACTCAGGACCTGAACACAGACCGATCCAGGGACAGTTTCCCTACCCCTACCACCGCGACCGTATGGCCCCATCGGGCCAGAGCCAGCACAGTATGATGGGTGCGGGCCCCACTCCTAATCATGCTGCTGATGGGCCCAACATGTGGCCTTCAAGAACGGACCTTGGCTATCCCTACCACAACAGACAAGGACCTCCAACGCAGATGTCRTACGGCTCCATCTGCAGAGACGACATGGACGGTCGGGCCGGGCAGGACCAGTGGCACCGTCAGTCCCCCTACATGTCATCATCTGGTGGTATGCCCCCCTTGTCTTCACGCCAGCCACTGTCTTATTCCAACTCCCCATCCATGACCAATCATCTGCCTAGAGCCCCCAGCCCAGGACCCTTCCATCGCTCAATGGACCCTCGAATGTCCCCCAGTAAAGCCCCATTTATGTCACCCATGAAGATGCCTAAGCCTGGCCTGGGTATGATGGGCTCACAAAGCAGTGGACCCATTGGTCAGTTTCCTCCAAACCTGAGGAGAGACCTCAATTACCCCCCAGGGTCAGTGGAAGCCACCTTACCAGTTCTCAAGCCTCGACGCAAGCTCAACTCTAAGGATTGTGGTAAGACAGAGCCCTCGTTGTGTCATCATGTGTTCGTAAAATGACAATAACTCCCCCTGTAAAAGAGTCATTTTTACCTACATCTAGCTAAATTTGCAGGGAAGTATGTTAAGCTATGTTTGACGTGAACAAATCCTGACAGAGCTGTTTATTTCCCTGATGTTTGAACCTCAGGAACACCTGAAGCCTGGCGTGTGATGATGTCTCTAAAGTCTGGCCTGCTGGCGGAGAGCACCTGGGCTTTAGACACCATCAACATCCTGCTGTACGACGACAGCACCGTGGCCTCCTTCAACCTGTCCCAGGTAAACAGCTCGATCAGTTATTACCTTTAATGACAGAGCAGAAACAACCACAGTCTTCTTTAACGCTGGTCTGGTTTTGAGAAGAAGTTGTGTTTGAAGGCTGAAAAACATTAAAATCTCTTGTTTGGCCAAACCATGAACCWAGCCTGTTTCTCCATAGTTTGTGCTCTATGAAAAATGTTGCAACTTGTATGATACTAGCTATGCAATTATTTGACTGGACTATCCCTTTAAGTTACTGCATCATAATTGCTTCATCATGAAAAAGCCAAATATTTGTGTAAATTGTTTGGATCKTATATTGTATTTCTTGGTTATTTTTCTGAACCAATATCAACAGCCTACTTTAAGAGAATTAAAGGGTTATTTGTTTGTTTATTTGTTGTTTCTCTTGYTGAAATACTGATACTGATATTGAATTCTTGTTTGTCCAGTTGCCTGGATTCCTCGAGTTAATTGTGGAGTACTTCCGCCGGTGCCTGATTGAGATTTTTGGCATCTTGGAAGAATTTGAGGTGGGGACAATAGCTCATAAGAACTATTTGGATATGAATTCTGTTCAGACGGAACAGAATCTCCCCACCCTTAATCAGGAAACGGACCCTACTGCCCCAACTGGACCTGAGTCAACCCCAGCGGAAACACAGGAGGAGCAGACTGGAGGCACAGAGGAGAAGGCTCCACCCGCTGAGCCGGCTGAGGCGTGTGGCAAAAAGGAGGATTTAGATGTCGGTACGAAAAAGGAAGAGACAAATAACAAAAAGGAATCATTAGAAGAGAGTGAAAGGGAAAGTAAAAAGGAGAGTTTGGACCATCCTCCTGCTGATTTGGGACCTAAACCTAAACAAGCCAGCAAGTACGATAAACTCCCCATAAAGATTGTGCACAAAGACGACCTGATGGAAGATCTGACCGAGCGTTTGGGCTACATCACCGAGTTTACCAGTGGGCTGCTGCACTGGCAGGCAGGTGGAGGCGACTCCACCACACACATTCAGACGCACTTTGAGCCACAGAGTGAACCGCCTGTCAGGGATGAAAAAAAGACGAAACACGAGGACAAACAGGAGGACAGGACGGACAATCAGAAACTGCTGAAGCACATTACCGCTACTATCGATGATGTTTTGTGTGCCAGGGTGGACGCCCTCTCCCACGCCCACCCTGCTCGCTCCCTGCCATCTTACCCGTTTAGGGTGCACCCAGACGGGAAGGATGACCACATCACCCTGCTGGAGGACGAGCCCCGCTGCCTGGATGAGGCTCCGCTCTGCACCGCCTCCCCTTGTCAAGACTCGCTGTCCAAAAGGTGCCTCTGCGTGTCCAACATCGTCCGGAGTCTGTCCTTCATCCCCGGGAACGACATGGAGATGTCCCGCCACCCCGCGCTGGTTCTGCTTCTGGGCAGGCTGCTCCTGCTGCAACACGTGCACCCGGAGAGGAACAGGCTGGCCCCGGGCTTTCAGAGAGACGAGCAGCGGGAGCGGGAGCTGTCGAGCGGCAGAGACGAGTGGTGGTGGGAGTGTCTGAGTCTGCTCAGGGAGAACGCCATGGTCACGCTCGCCAACATCGCAGGTCACCTGGATCTTTCCTCTTATTCAGACACTATTTGCCTTCCTATCCTGGACGGCCTTCTCCACTGGATGGTTTGCCCCTCAGCCGAGGCCCAGGACCCCTTCCCGTCAGCAGCACCGCACTCCCAGCTCACTCCCCAGAGGCTGGTCCTGGAGTGCCTCTGCAAGCTGAGCATCCAGGACGGTAACGTAGACCTGCTGCTGGCCACCCCGCCTTTCAGCCGACAGGAGAAACTCTTCGCGGTCCTGGTGCGCTGCGTGGGTCAGAGGAAAGGCCAGGTGTACAGAGAGATGGCCGTGGCCGTCCTCTCCCACCTGGCACAGGGAGACCCGACAGCGGCGCGCGCCATCGCCTTGCAGAAGGGCAGCGTGGGTAATTTGGTTGCCTTCTTGGAAGATGGAGTCAGCATGGCACAATACCAGCAGAATCCTCACAGCTTGCTGCACATGGGACACCCCCCTATGGACCCACCCAGCGTGAACATGATGTGCAGAGCAGCTAAAGGTCTGCTGGCCATGGCTAAAGTGGAGGAGAACAAGTCAGAGTTCGTACTGTACGAGAGCAGATTATTAGACATCTCCATTTCCTCGGTGCTCAACACGGGAGTGGTGGCGATTGTTTGCCAAGTTCTGTTTCACTTAGGGAAATTATGACAGAAGAAGAGGCGGAGCTAAGATGGCAGAGGGCGGGTCACAATGATATCCCTGTGGTTTTTTTAATTTTATTTATTAAAATGACAGAAAACGTTTGTGTTTTTTAAAAAGAAAAAATCYGCATTACGAAAATTAACTCTCTCTMTATATATATGTATAGCTTCTTGGCCCTGTTGAAAAACAAATTGGGTTTGGGACTTGACAGCTCATTTTAATACAAATATTTAATACTTGTATGTGTTGGTTGGTTATGTTTTATGTTTTTGTTTTCTTTTTTTTTTCTTGTTTATTTTACTTTTTCAGCCAAAGCTGCCAGCAGATGTCGGTGCTGAATTCCGTGGTTCTTTTTTGGGTTGATGAGATGTTTTCAGTTTTATAAATACGAATATGCTCATCAACACTTTCTTAACGAAGCGTATTTATTTAAAACGTGACACTGTACAGTTGTTTGAACTTTTATTTTGCCAACAGTTTGTGCGTGGGAGAATGGGGGGCGTAAATAAACTTAAAAAAAAAACAGACCTTTTAAACTGAAATGTATATGTCTCCATCGCTGGAAGATAAATTGTGCAATAGGACCAGAGCAAGTTGTCCCTTTTGGAAACAGCAGGATGTGAAGCTTCGTGTGTGTGTGTGTGTGCTTCAGGCCAGGAGGTGGCAGCATTGCACCAGCCAATCTACAAAACAGAAGAGCATCTGTCAAGAAATAAGTATCTAATTTATCAATCATGGCCTCATTGACTTTTACCGATGAACTTTGTGTTTCTGGCACCAATRTAGTTTGTCTGTATTTTTTGATCACTGTGTAAATAAACCTTTGTGCAAAGAATGCACACAACTCTTTCAGTCTCCATCAAGCAGGAGATGTGACTTTGAGACTATTATAACAAATGCTTTTATTGAGGGTACAATTTGGCATTGTTATTGTACATATTTTGTTAATTGGGTCAGATATTTGAACATGGCAGATGATGTTTCAATGTAAAAAAAAATACTAATAAATTCTTGTATGCATTGTATTATAGCTGAGAAAACAATCGCTTTGGTAATTAAATGTGAAAGTGCCAGGGTGAGAAGATAACTACATGAGAAAACTGAACATCTTTCCTTTTTGTTACAGTCCTACATTCATGTCAGCTGGCATATTTTTGAATCCCTCTTACAGAAAACGTGTGAAAAGAACCTTCAGTGTCCTGAGAACCCATTGTAAAATCGGCCTTTTTCTTTTTTCTTTTTTTTTCGTACGACTCCTTGTCTTTTCTTCCGTAAAACACATTTATACTGTGTGCTGCACATGTCACAAATAAATGTACAACGAACATTGTTAAGCACTGGAGACGTTGCGTTATGTCCTGACAATCCTAGGCCAATAAACAAACATCAGTTGCTTACTTGAGCTATCCTTTTGTGACTTTATTGAAGATAGTATTAGAGCAGGGTGTTGTTTTCACTGAGGGCCCCATGAGCATTATGGTGGCCCTCAAAGGGCCAGTTATAATTAACTTCATGTTCAACGTTGACTAAACATGAAAAGTCGTGTTCCTTGTCTCGTTGAATTCCCACTGGAAGGGGCATTCTAGTTTAACCACTAACCCTCAATGTACTGTACCACCCGCGGGACATTCCCAGTTTGTGGTTACTTCCTGCCTCTTTATAGCCCACTCTGCCAGGGACTTTATATCTGCATAATAGGCTGTTCAAGCAATTTGATTGGTTGTCTTCTTTCAATTGACACCTCTTTGGTCAATATGGTTACTTTAATAATACTTTAACCGTATTGACCAAAATCACACAAAAAATGCCGTTGAGTGCCACATATGGCCCACAGGTCTTGAGTTTGACACGTTAGAGAAATGGCTGGTTTATCAAGTCTCACAGCATTGATAAAATCAATTTATTTATATAGCACATAAACAAGTGTTGACCAAAGTGTTTCACAAAGAGGGAAAATACATACAATTTATTAAAGGTCCTCATTAGTGTCTGCATAGGCAGAGATTACTCTTCCTAATTAACCTCCTAAGACCCGAACTCTTGCATTGCAATGCATTTTTGTCCACATATGTGGCGCCGGGTCCTAGGATAAATACCTAGAAATTTACCAGATGCATAAATGTTTGTCACCTAAAACTTTTCCTTTAAAGAATCAAGGGACTTCAGGAGGTGACGGAGTATTTTAGTCAAAGAAAACCAAATTTAAGATTTTTTACAGAAATACAACTCTGCTTACTTCTCATCTAGTTTGATCACTTTCATAACTAATGTAGCTTTCATTGTTTTCATCCCTCAAAACTAGAACATGAAACACAGAAAATATAAGAAAACCAAAAGCAGTGTGCTTGTGCTACTGCAGCATTCTGTTTTATTTTCATGATTACAATTTAAAGAGAAATTATTTTTTACCATGCTTCAGTAAATAACTTTAGGTGTTTTTACTTCCTGTACTTTGGTGTCTATCTCTCCCTCTGCCTTCGTCGTTGGAGAGGGAAGATGTGGGCATCGCATCAAAGCTATTTTAGGTTGCCTTCCGTAAAAGCATTCCTAAAGTGGATAACACAGATTATAGGCCGAGCGTCAAACCGTGACTCTTAGCTGGGTCATTTGTCAGAAAGATGCACTCTCATCTTTACCCTATTAAAATGTTATTGACACCTTAAATTAAGTCAAAGGAGGAGCGTGTGGGTGACTGTGATACTTTTTTTCAAATTTCAAGCCTAGCTGTGCCGTTTAAGTGGGTTTCTGCCCTTCTTATGTGGTGCGGGATGAATTTCATGTAGGAGAAACCCACCCACAGTTCTGCGCCTCTGAACAGCTGAGTCATCGAGCTCCAGCAGGATGGATGTGGTGGCTGCAGGAAGACGTGTCCATCATTGGCCTTGACTACCTCTCACCACAAATGTAGGTGAGTTAACACTGGGTGGAAACAACAGAGACTGTGCTGACCCACTCAGTGTGTGGTTGTAAACATGTGAGCTAACTTTAGATAAGTCCTCATAGATGAAGCCTAGACAGGATCGTATTTTTCGTTGTCCTCACGTTGTGTTTTCTTAAACTCCACTTCTTCCACAATCATCATGCTATACTAACAGATCATTGGCAACCATTTAAAACATCCGAAACGTTCCAATAAATTCAGCTTAACAGGTGCCAGCTCAGGGCTTTCCTTGCAGATGTGCAACAGAACTCCCCTTTTTTTAATTGAGGTGTTTTTATGTGACTAAAAATTATATTTTAAATCTGATCACAGTTCAGCGTGCCTGAAAACCACACCGTACTTTCAAACAGCAAGTGGAAAACAGAACGATTAAAAGAAAAACAACCAGACTTATTTTGAAAGAAAGCAGGTAAGCGCACAGCTTTGGGTGTGAAGGAGCTGGACAGCCTCGGAGCAAAATGAGGAGGTGTGTGTGTCTGTGTGCATGTCGGTGTTAAGAAGAGGACAGATGACAAAATGTAGGTTGATGATGAAATACTAATCTTCTATATTCTGTTTCTTTTGATTGTCTTCAGATAAATAATCTTAAGGAAACTTAACCTTTTTATGGAACATTTGTCTCAAAAGACACTGCAAAAGAGTTGAAAACAGGACAGTGGGGCCTGTAAGATAGATGTTACTCTGAATTCCTTACATATTTTTGTAAAAATGCCTCCCAACAACTTGGAAACTCAAAATTTTGGGGGTCTGGGGACCCCACAAGGGCAAAAATAAAATTCCAGGGACCTCCTCATAAACTCCATGCTGTTTTAAAAGATCATTTCAACCCCTAAATGCCATGGGAATATATATTTTTATTTAGTTTATGTTTGTTTTATTAGTTATTTGTCCCGCATGCTTTTTTAAAAGTGACCAAATTAACAATTTTGTGAAATTTTTGAGGCCCCCCCAAGATACGTCTCGTGGACCCCTGACCCCAGTTTGAGAACTTCTGCACTAACTAACTTTTATTGAGCCCCTTTATTTTACTTTCAGTCATATCAGCTCTGTCCACACTTTTAAGCTTCAATGTTCCTTTTAGTATTAAAATATCCCAATGATGAAAACTGAATAAATTAAAACTCATTATTGCAATCCTCTTTATAGAAGAACCCTGGTTTACAAAGTGAAAATCATGTCATTCTGAAGAATGTCTGAGAATAAAGTTCAAGACAACAAGGTAAGTAGAAACATGTTAACATAGGAAATAAATCTTTACACAGCTTGAATTGTTTATAAAACAAGATGAGCCCCACCAAGCTGGACATTAAAATTGAGGAGGGGTGCAGCTTGGTTGCAATGACCTCTTCGGTGGCAAGAAAAAGTTGAAAATTAAGACAATTTTRCAGATATAATTTCTCATTAAAAGAGACATGCTTTTAAATCATTTTTCACATTTAAATCATTCAGTTGGGGTCTACATAGAGTGCAACTGCAATATTTTGATCTGAATTCCTGTGGTCTTTTTAAATGCAAATGATGCACTTCACACCCTGTCCAACCCCACCCTGTTCGGCCTGTTTAGTATGATAGCAGAGATACAATTATGTTTACATATTAATTWAAAAATGTCAACAATGGAAGACTTGCCCACCCAGCTTTACATGCTGAGTTTGACCCAGAGTGAAAARGAGAATGAAGATGACAAACCGGCTGAACCACGGGTTTGCAAAAATTGTTTAGCTGGAAGTCCAGGACCTTGTTTAACAGGTTCACAGTAAAAAAAATAAAAATAAAAATAAAAACGTCATAGGGAACAGAGAAAACTGAACGGATTGAAAAATATGACCCAAGCAGAATATTAAGGAATCTACTCAGCACCGGGAGAGATTAAAATCAAAATTTCTACATTCCTAGAAATTTCAATTACACAACCAAATGTATTTAAGTGCTAAAAACGTAGCTTTTGCATGATATGTAGGGGTGGGTKTATCGATCTGAGTATCAATATTAAGATGAGTTGTTTTATTTTATTAGCTAATACAAAACATTTTTATTTACTTATGTTTTATTTATTTCGATACCAAGATTAGTATCACCTACCTCTGCTGATATGTCCYCTTTAAAKAAGACATATCATGCAAAATCCACTTTTAAGCCATTAGATACATCTTATAGTGTACTTRGAGCAGAAATTTTGARTTTAATCTCTCYYGATGCTGCATCYTTATATTCTGTCTGGRTCATTTTGTCAGCCCATCAGTTTTCTCTATTTTATGTTTCTGTTCTATATTGTTTATTACGTCAAATTAGTTGTGACAGAACTAATAAGGTCTGGACTTACCAACTACAATATTGTTGTCTTTCTCTTCTGGCTCTGGGTCAGACTCTGGCTCCAACATGTAACCGATAAGTCTTCCCTTGTTTACGACTTTTAATTAATTTGGAAATAAAATGTTTCAGCACAGCTAGATGTCTCTCTCAAACAAAAACGTACCAGTCTGGAAGGTGGAGCAGTGCGGGGCGTGAAGCACCTCTTAGGATTTAAAGGAACAGARTCAAAACGGGCTGCTTTGAGACACACATCAGAAAAGGTGAAAGAGGGGCTTGTGGAGTTACAATAAGAAGGAATTCAGACCAGAGCATTGCAGTGCAGTTTATGTAGACCAAATGAATGATATATAATGTGAAAAAGAAGCAGGGGTAGACATAACCATTGTTTAGGTTGTCCGAGACAACCTATTTTTATTTCGGACAACCAGATCCTGTCTCCTGGTTGTCCAGTGGACAATCAAGAAAAAAGACATTGTTCAAAGTTCTCTGCCGCGGGTTCGTCATTTGTAAAAATGAAAGGGAGAAAAAACTTGGTAAAGCCAAACAGAACACTAAACTGTAACTTTTAATAAGGTCATGTACACAGTACACTCCTATTTAAGTGAAAATATTTGACCTATGAGCAGAAAGAAGTTTATGAATGTTGGGTAACCTCTAGATTTTATTAGCAACATTTTTGCTGCTTTAAGGGCTCGACACACGGGAGGCGACGTCGCTCGCTCTCCATTCGTATGGAGCCTGTGCGGTGAGGCGACAATCGCTCGCCCTCCTCCAGCTAAGCGACCGGCGAAAATAGTGCATGTGAAATGTCGCGCTCGTACACGTAGACGTGCACACGCGAGCTTGCGACGATATGAAAGTTGAAAAATGTTCAACTTTTGTCGCTGTCGCTTAGCGTACAACCAATCAGCGAGGGTTTCATTGACTGACCAATGAGAGGAGAGCATGCTACACACTGCAGTTAGCTAACACTTTCACCAAGTGATTACTAAAAAGCTTTGTGGGAATTTTTTTGGCACCAGGGTGAAGTTCATGGTAAGTTTTTCCTCATAAAACTGTATCTTGATGTTTGTTTTTCAATATCATTAGCATCACAAGACTTGTTTAGTTTACACGTCCGTAATGCACACCCGCCTTCGGAGTCAAGAACCAATCAAATTTTGTGAAGACAAGCGATCTGAGAGCGCGATTCGCAACGCTGCGATCGCTATCGCATCCTGTGTGTCGAGGCCTTTACTCCCTGAGCCTTAAATACTTTATTTCAAAGAAGAGAATTAGGAAGTTTTATTCACACAGCTCCAGCCAACCTGGCGGACTGAGAACAATTATATATAATAAACTTTGTCTACAGAAGAATATACTTGTTAAATTACATTTTTCTTGCGATTCTTTTGGACAACCAAAATGTTTTGCGGACAACCAGGTTTTGTGAACAGGTTGACAACCTGTTCACAAAACCTGGTTGTCCGCAAAACATTTTGAAAACATTTGTCCGCTGGACAACCTGAAAAATATATGTCTACCCCTGAGAAGGATTTAAAAGCTTATGTCTCCTTTAAGACTGTCTGGGGGGGACCAGTGAGAGGGTGATAGTAGATGTATAGCCCTGCTGGGCCCCCTGGGCCTCTCCCTGGACACGCCCCTGCTGGCACGTTGATGAACGTCTGTAAAAGYCCCCGGACCTTGCATTGGGAGCCCCCTTGAACAGTTCGTCCTCCCTCTCTGCACCTTTTGCTCCCGACCTCAGCTGAAGGGGGAGGAGCAGGCGGAGGCTCTTCTCTTTTTGCGCCCATGTTGATGTTTGCGAGGGTGGCATCGCTGTGTGTGGACGGCTGTCGGCTGGCCTGCCAGGTCCAGGACTGTGGGAAGCGGCAACTTTTCCCCCCCACCTTCTAATGAGGTTGAACGGTGAACATTTGTGACCATGACTCGTCGATGGTACCTCTGAGACGCCCGGCCGTATGGCTGTAAGGTCCTGCTCAGCTCGAGCTGCGCGCAAAGACTCGTTTTGTTTGTGATTGACGGCCAGTCGAGTCAGGATGCTGGAGCTCGTCTGAGAGAACGTGTGTTTGTGTGTTTGTGTGTTTGTGTGTCTGTGTGTCGCTTTTGGATTTCCCTTCCCCTTTTTCCCCTCTTTTTTCCTTTTTCAAAACGGAGTTCTCCCTCGGCGGCGAGAAGAAGATCACAAACTCATTTGTTCACCCTTAAACTTCCGAAAATGATCTTCGCTTTGCCTCGTAACAAGCCCGGATAACGACGGGAGCAGCGCCGCGACAACACCCCCGAAACGACGACTTTGCCTCGGTAAGGTTTTCAACACAGCCGGGATGTGACGCCTCTCTCTCTGCTTTTAGGGATACGTGGTTGACAGCGCACCGAAACCTTATTTGTAGCTTATTTTAAGCAATTAAAGCGGCCAGTTCTGTGATTTTTATTCGTGCGTGAACGTACAACGAGCTAATCTTTAAATTTGCCCGACGTGATAACTTGAAATTTGTCTCGCCAACTTGTTAGCTACGTTAGCATGCTAGCATCACTTTATTGAGGTATGTCGCACAAGCCAAGTTGCTTTCCGACAAACTTTGTTTGCAGGGTTTACAAAATTATATTATTTGCTGATATATGTTGCCAGACAGGATTCTTAAAGCCTAAAGTCATGTATTGTTTTGGGTAGATGGGGGGTGTTTTTTAAAAACAGGAAGTGTTGTGTCAAACTTTAAAAAAGTTGTGAGCCTCTCTGTTAATCTTAACCTGTTTCCTCCACACAGAAACTCGCCAGGCAGCCTTTGGGTTTATTCAGCTCTGGGATTTTTTTTTCTCTCTCTCTCTGCGGTTAATGCATCTTGGGGAGTCCATGAGAGAGTGCGAGTACAGCCAAATAAGCACTCGCAGCTCCACGCCAATGGAGACCCCATACAAGAAAAGGACACCAAAGAGGAGGAAGTGGGAGGCCTTCCCTGGTCGAAACAAGTTTTACTGTGATGGGAGGATTATGATGGCCAAGCAGACCGGGGTTTTCTACCTCACCCTTGTCCTAATTCTCGTAACCTGTGGACTTTTTTTCGTCTTTGAGTAAGTAATAATAAAAGTCTTCATCTGCTTTTGTGCTCACATGGGTGAGCTGTGGATTAGARATTTCATCTCATGGGCTCAGATGCCAGAGGAAGAGTTTAGGCACACTTATGTCAAATRCATGGCTCTGGAGTAATTTCCTTTTATCTGTCTTAAGGTCAGGGAGATGTCAGTTCAAACTGGTTGTAGATTAGGTAGAAACATCCCTTAATACATAAAGCCTTAAGCAGAGAGTGTATATAGCAACACCGACTGATGTTGATGGAAATAATTCAGTGGTTTAAGGTGTGGGCTTCCTGTCTTAATTTGCTTATAGGTAATACCGTCATGTTTTCAGCTTAATAGTTCGTTGACAGTTTTGACACTAGTATTGAAATGCTGGCAAATTATTATTTTAAGGACATTTGTTTTACTGAAMTGTCCTTGAGCAAGATACTGAACCCTAACTAACTAGATAGCTTAAATGAAATAAAGTGCTGTGTTGAATATTTTTATTTTGAGACTTAAACTGGTTTCCTGGCTGATTAGGTAGTTTTCTTCCTCGTCATCATTGTTAAAAGTATTCATTGCAACATCGTGAAGACTGCTAATAAAAGTTCATAAAGCAACAAACGACATTTGCACGTTTTTCCCATATAGATGGTTTTCAAATGACGTAGCGACCTGCAGATCACGTGATCAAATCGCCATATTCATGGCTGCGAATGCGGAAGAGGGGATAGTCTACAGCAGTGGTTCCCAAACTTTTTATCTTCTGACCCACAAAATATCCATGGCAAAAACTTGTGACCCCAAATATTACTGGTCTGAGTACATGAACTTCATTAATAACCCTAAAAACACAGGCTTTTTGACAATCTAAACAGCATGTACACACACATAAATACTTATTTATACTTACTTTGTGTTTTTGTAATAATTATAGGGAAAATGTTACATCAGCTATTATTTTATTACCCTTTAAATTGATTTCTGGAGATTATCCAAGGTGCTTCATGACCCATAATTGGGTCCAAAGCCCAACTTTGGGAACCAAAGTGCAGTGGTTCCCAAACTTTTCAGCTTTTGACCCACAAAATAACAGCAGCAGAGACCTGTGCCCCCAACTATTTTTGGATGATAAACATTTGTATCAGGTCAACAAAACATGGGCATAGTAACAATATTTTTATACTACATTTATCCATTTTAAATATACTAATCTCACTCTTTGTAACAACTAAGGCAAAGATGTCATTAATTCAGAAAAAATTTTCAGGACCCCACCTTGATGTTTCGGGACCCCACTTTGGGTCCCGATCCCAACTTTGGGAAACACTGGCCTACAGCATAGAAATGTAGAGTCTAGATCATTTTTTCCCAAAGTTGGGGTCGGGACCCAAAGTGGGGTCCCGAAAAATCAAGGTGGGGTCCTGAAAAGATTTTCTGAATTAATGACATTTTTGTCTTAGTTGTTACAAAGGAGTGAGGTTAGTGTATTTAAAATGGATAAATGTAGTATAAAAAATATTGTTACTATGCCCATGTTTAGTTGACCTGATACAAATGTTCATCATCCAAAAACAATTACAGGTCTCTGCTACTGTTATTTTGTGGGTCAAAAGCTGAAAAGTTTGGGAACCACTTGTCTAGATTGTTTATGTTGAATATTTCTATTATAAGTTGTTTTAACAGTCATGGAGCAAATTTGCGTTCGAGTTAGTTACAAAACTGTGCTGCTCGTGTGGCAGAGAAACGCTCTTAAAAAATACAGACGGCGTAAAAACACTTAAGGAGAAGTGATTTTGTGGCTGGCGATAATCAGCCACAAAGATTTCACCCTCCGCAGGTTTCCAAAGTGTGTTCAAATCACTCCTACCATGGTTAGTGACCGCATAGTACGTTAATTACCTTAAAAAAAGGGTAAAAGGTTGCGCACTATGAACAGAAAAGTGTTTTGAATWCTATGCAATCTACCCTTGTAAACAAGAATGTAGGATACACTGACAGTATCAGACTATAATCACAAAAAGCTCAGTATTGTGCAGTATGTACCTATTTGGAGTATGTAAGATATAGTTACTAAAAATATCAGCRAAAGTCACACMGAGTCATGTCAACACAGCCTCCGTGTTGGCTCTGCAGACTTCAGCAGCTCGTAAGTATCGCTACTTTCAATAAAGTTAAATACCTTAGTTTTATTATTTAGTAGATCCATGGGTGTCCTGAAAGGCATGTTTTAAATACAAAGTATTATCATCCTGGTCATGCTCGTCTGCGTCTTTCAGAGGCCTTTTTGCATTTTTTTTCTCCCTTGCTTTTGTGGTTCTCCCATACTGGTTTTATCGCTACAAACTAAATAGTAGCCCACGAACGGGGTGCGGAGGGTAAAAAAGTCACGGATGATGACGTCATTGAAAACCATCTATTGAGAGAAGATTGATTTGTTCACTATAACTAGATACCAATATATCTGGAAAACTACTAGATTAAACTCTTTCAAACTGCACCATATGATCTAGTTTGGGATAATCTGTTTTATGTTTGAGTTTATCATTTTTTAATGAATACCATTTAATAGGTTGTGTCTTTTACCTACACCCCAGTTAATCACACATTCCACAATAATTTTTGTTGTCTTTTCTGCTGCTAGAATAGATTGCAAATAGAACACATGGTGCCAGTTTCCTCACTATCGCATCACTGAGTAGACCACAGAAAATAGTATGTGGACAAAGACCTTGAGTGCTAGCATCCCTGAAGGATACCACCAGATATTGTGTATTCTTTCTCCAGTCATTAGCCCATCACTTTGTCATCCATCACCTCAGAAACCCCCATCAATACCAGATAAAAGTCCTGCTCTGTCATTAGATTTGTTGTTTAATTGGAGTGTGTTTATCAGGGTAAAGTGCCCGACAGACAGGGAATGCTTAACAGGCGCAATATGCGTTGTGCTTTATGTCTGCTGCACTCTAACTACACACTAAAAACAGTTTAAGCCAAGTAAAATGTAGAAGAAATGTAACTTGATGCCATCACTGTTGGCTCATGCTCATATTTTGTTCAGCAACTGACATTTAAAGCCTGTACTGAATTATCTTAGTCTTTATGACCAGCTTAAAAATGAGTGAAATGCGAAAGAGCTTTTCAGATTGAGCAAGAACATGGATTGTCTGTATAAAAATTACAATATATTTTTAAAAATCCACGCAGTTAACTTAAATTTATAAAGATGGCTACAAAACACGATCTTAGGAAGATTGCACTTTTTTTATTTATTTTTGTCAAAATAGACATTTTACGCTATTTTTGACACCTTTTAATTAAACTGGCTGTTCAGCATTGTTTAGGAAGAGATGCTAACATAATTTTATGTCATTAGCTGGTGTCCTGCAGATGTTGCTTACACAGAAACTAATTCAAATTCTAAAAGATTTAAATTTTAGGTCTTAAAGGCTAAAATTCACTAAATTATTGTGTTCAAGTGTTAATTTTAAATAGGTCTTAATGTTCTAACGCCCATGTAACGTTAACTCAAATGCTCATCAAATGCCCCCGCTACAACTACAACCGCACAACCTACATTGCATCCAGTCAGCTTTCATGTTACTGGCTGGTCCAGTCTTCCTTTCAGGGTCATGGGGGTCACTAGTGTCTGTATCTAGCAGTCTGTGCGAGAGGTGGAGTAAACCCTGGATAGGTCTCCAGTCCATTACAGGGACGCATAGAGACAAGCTCATACCTAGGGACAATTCAGAGTGACCAATAGCCTATATGTCACAGTTATTAATGACATATTTCCGGTAAAATTCTTGCCACGCTCCTCCCTTCCACTTCCTGCTTACTGCCTATGTTTTTAGCGTTAGCTCCTAGTACTAGTCCATGAAAGTCACAAAAGTTAAAGCATCTGTGATCTACTGGTATAAAACGTGAGTTCTGTTGTGTGCCGTTGTGTCCAGTAAGCAGCAGGTACGATCGAGTAGTTAGTTTTTATCCATTTTTCCCATTGATGAGGAGGTGACAGCAGTGGATCATAGCATTACAGGGAAAACTTATCTTTAAAAGCTCATGCTTGCGCTTGTAATCAGCATTTCTAACCTGAGGGTATTCAAGAGTCAGCATCAGAAATGAGAAGACAGAGGTTACAAAAGGGAAATGTACATTTATCCCCTTTACTGAGGAAAGACCTCCTCCACATGACAGCTAGCAGGAAGCTAACACAGCAGCCGGTACAAAGGTAGGTGTGTGTATGTGCGCGTATTTGTGTTATACAGAGTATGAAATGTTTTTAGGCAACTTTGTCATGAGTTTTATGCAAAAGTAAAACCTTGTTAGAGTGTATATTACAGCGTAGACTAAAGCCRAGTGACGAGCGCCCCCACCCCTCCTCCCCTGAGCACCGAGAGCAGCAGAACCTCCGCCTGATAATCATTACGTTTTCAGTTCACTAACGTCGGGGAAAACCATCCAAACCATAAAAGTAGCCCATCAATTTAAAACTTTGACTCTGCTCTTTCCAACAATATAAGTGTCAMAGCTCTACGTGAAAAATTCACGGAACAAGCAGCCACGGAAAAGCGAAAAAGTTCAAGTTCTGGAACCATAAACACGAACGTCTTTCCTTTGTTTTTATGGCTTTAATCCACTGGAGTGATTTTTTTTTTCAGTTGGCTGGACCTGTACGTGTCCTGTGTTAATGTTGGTACATGTAATATGCTAATTCTGTACTGTGGAGATCATTAAGAGTCGTTGGGTGAAAAAATCTTTTGCTAACACTATGTTGACCACAAATCGGAAGTGTTGGGAGTGGCATCAAGTGCTGGACCAGATGTCCGTGGCATATAGGCTATTAGCCTCTGGAGAAAAACCAGAGTACTCGGAGAAAACTCACATGTACAGAGAGAACATGCTAACTATTCAGAAAAGTCCCCGGCCAGGATTCGATCAGGCAAACTTCTTTTTGGGAGGCAACCGTGCTGCCCGAGTTTAACACATTTTTTATAGATTTCTGTATGTCG